CTCGGTTGTCCTTTAAAAATGGATTGTTCACCTTTCTCTTTATAACTCTAGCTGGAATGGAATAAATACAGGTATGTACAATAGACTTATAGATATCTCATCAACTTTATATGCAAGCATAAGATGATAATGGCCCTTTCCCTCAATAAATTAGGAGTTAATAATCCACCAAATAAATAAAAAAAATTTATTTAATTTGAGATAATGGCAAATACTTATTATCTTTATCACACAATAAATATAAAAAAATCATTGTCCACAAGCGCTTTGTTGCTCTTCTGACTCAACATCTTGATTTCTCTCTCTCCAAAGAACTCAACATATCATCTCTCCAACTATAGGATTGCTTTATAATCCCACTGCTATGGTGACATTACATATCCAGTTACATCACACTAGGTTGGGGAATCTTCTTCAAGACAATGGCCTTGTAGTGCACCATATCCCTCTTCAACCCTCTTACTGTTTTCTCCCATGCCAGCCTACCCCATAGACATCCAAAAAACACCTTCTCATCTTCAACCATGCAACCATCTCAGTGAAAACAACATTGTGTTAGTCATGGTTTAGGAAAACACCATTTATAGAACAATATAGCTCAATCTTACATGCATCAGCTAACACAGTGCACTTTAAGAAAGTTTTCTCTAATTGTGTATTTTTAAAGTTCTTGTCCCCATCCAAATAGTTCTTGTGCAATCAACGACTTCTATCCATCTTCTGCAACTCCTCACATGGGAATTCTCCACGCTCAGCTCAGTCATCAAGACAAATTTAATAAAATTAAATGTAGTGTACACAACAGAGCATCCATTATTCACTTTATCATCAATCATCCTCAATAATAGTTTGATGAATCAAAAGCCCTAGAGGACTGTAATTAGGAGTTCTATAGAACTAAACAAAAGGAGATCTGTTAGGCATGTCATTGAAGTCATTAGTCTCAAACTGCCTAACAAGTTTCTACATCACATCCACCTCAATATGTGATCTGAGCACTATAATGACTCTCTTCTAATATAATTAAATTAAAAATCTAGATACAAAATAAAACAGCTAAAATAAGAAAAATAAAATACTATTACAGAACTATGATCGAGCCATAATTGAATCATCTTTATAATCTTCAAAATATGATTGAATAATTTTCGAACCATAATTGAAGCATCGTCAATTATCATTCAAACAATCTTCGACCATCTTCATACCATCCTCAAACCACAATCGAACAATCTTTGATCATTCTTTGAAAAATCTTTAAAAGATGATCGCAGCTTGATCAAACCACCTTTAATCATCATTTGATCATCTTAGAATCATGACTGTCGTACCCTCGTTGAACCATGATTTAACAAACATCAAACTAGGATCATTCATCTCAAATATCATCATATCACCATTTGAAAAAGGTTCAATCATGGCTCGAACAATATTCAAATCATGATTAAAGATGTTTCAAAGATGGTGTGATCATGTCATGATCATTGTTCAAAGATTCTTCAAATATGGTTCGAAGATCGTTCTATCCTAATTAAAAGAATGGTAAATCGTGATGTAAGCGTTGTTTAAAGATAAAGATGGTCCAAAGATGATTCTAATAGGTTTATATCAAGTAATATGATGTTTACCTATATTTTGAATATAGGGTTTACAGTAGGGTTGTAAACGAGTCGAGTCAAGTCGAGTTTTGACGCTATCGAGCTCAACTTGTTAGTAAGAAAGCAAGCACAAACTCGAGCTCGAGCTCGAGCTCGTCCCACTATAAATGAGCTTAAGCCGGCTCATGAGCCTCTGAACTCTGCCCGTGAACTTTGCCCACAATTTCCTGCCTGCAAACTCTGCACGCGACCTCTGCCCGCGAAAATTTCCGCACACAGAACTCTGCCCGCAAAAATTTTCACAAGCGGCGATTTCCTGCCCGAGGCATTTCCCTCCGTCAGCGAGCCGCTCGACGAATCCAAGGCACTAAGAAAAATATCACAAGTTTCAAATATTATTAAATAATTCTACATATTTTATAGAATCTTTAGGTTTATATGCTTAGTACTAGCCAAAAATTAATCGTACCTTGAGATAGTTCTGACAAGTCTCAAGCACTACAAATCTTAAGAAATTACTCTAATTTAAAAAAAAAATGGAATTTTCAAGATTTTCTGGAGTTTTTAGAATTTCATATATTTACACCATTTGCATATTTTTGGGACTTTTTTAATTTTTTTTTTCCTTTTTGCATTCAATAATTCTATTATATTTTTTATTATTTTTTCCTTTATAATGCTTTAAAAATATTACCTACCTCATTCTGAACATCTTCGTCTTTTTTTTTTTTTTACATCTTCGTCTAATTTGATAGGTCAGTGTGGATGAAATTTGATAACCATACAAATGACATGAAAATTAAACCAAATATTATTTTACACTCAAGGATGTCACTTTATCTCAATAGTAGTAGAATCAATTCAGTTTTGGTTTTGGACCTTTGTCAAAAAAGATGAATTTCTACAAGATATATAAATTTACATTTGTGTTTTGTTCACTCCCTAGTTTGTTACACATTTTCAGAGGCATTTATAACTTCATTTCGCTCTTCCAAAAGTTCATTTGTTCGAGTTCATGTCCATGTCTAGATAGCAATGTGCCTTTTTGGGGTAGCTCCTTTTGTCCAAGTTCAAAATTGAACCAAAAATTTTGATAAAGCTTTCTTCTCGCTCCACAAGGGGTTAGCCAAGGAGCTCTAAGGCAATACTTACCAAGCCCCCAAAGGCATAATACATGAGCGGTACACAAGAAAACCATTGCCACAAATGAGCCTCTAATCATGCTTAGAAAAGCACAAATGCTACACAAGACAACCTGACTAAAGAAAAACTTCTTCACCATCTACAAAAGGAGTTATTAAAGACTTCTAAATATACAACAAGTGTTTGTGAAGATAAAAAAAGGAATAAAGTTGACAATAGCATGCTCTCATTGTGGCTCGAAAGACACATGAAAGTTTTCATTCCTCACGGCTCTCTCAAAAGGAATTTTATGAGTTCTCTCAAACAAATTACTTGATGGCCTTACCAAAACAACATCATACCCACCACACCCCCAAAGGTGTGAATAGCATGTCATCTAACATAAGGGTGTCAATAAATGACCTGATAAAAACCAAATCAAAAAATCAAAGTTTGGGTTGAGTCAAATATATTTCACATCAGTTCGGGTTTAAAATCTTGACCCAATTAAATTTCAGATCAAGTTTGAGTTGACCCAAAGATCCAAAATTAACTCGACATGACCTGAGTACTATTTTTGTTCGGGTTAAAAGGGTCATGTTGTTCCAAAAAAAATTAGATGATTCATATAATAAACGAGTTGAACAGATCGGGTTTAGGTTAGACCAGATTCATGTTAAGTATTTTGATCCATATAATAAACAATCAAGTTCGAGTCTAGCATATTCAGAACAAGACGAAAACCCAACCTACTAACCCTAATTGACATCTCTAATAGAACCTATCATCCTATAGGTGGGAAAAATAAATACAAAACCTTTGTGAGCTGCAATCAATTAAGCTGAGGTAAAAAATACGTAGAGAGGAGATGTTTGATTTTTAGAAGCACACCTTAGAAACCTTAAACTTTAAAATGTTTCTATAACACTCCTCCATCTCAAGGGATTCTAAATTTCAAGTTTTTGAAATAAATATTATATATTTTTCTCATATGATTCTTCACATATTATAACCAAACGCTCTCTACCTATGAATTATTTCTAATGCGCCCTAGAAACTTCAGAAATAAACAACAGCTTCTCTGATTATTTTAAACTTCTAAATCATGATTCAAACAGCTTGGAGGAAATTTGATCATGCTCAAGAACACTAAAGTTCTATAGAATCACATCACAAATTCGCCACTCAAAAATCATGTGAATTCATTAAGAAATGACGAAGCCACACTAAATATACAGAGCGAGGTTGAAATCTATATTTACATATAATTTGTAGCTCATAAAGTTTGAATCAACTAAATGGTGAGCATGAAAGTTGCAAGTAACAATGCTATGAATTCATCCATAAGAAAATCAAGTGATGTCGATAGAAAATTAGAAAAATATACACAAATTATTGAAAAAATTAAGAGGTTTCAATAAACCCAAACGATGATCATAAAAATAAAAGAGCCAAGCAATAAACCAACAAAATAAAAAAAATATGTGATTATATTAAGGGATGAGTGAGTAATTGCAATTTTTCCAAAAATGGTCTAAAAGATTCTTAAAGTTTTGCATAGGTTTTCAGTTTATGAGCAATCTACACAACATAGTATCAAAATCAACAAAGGTAGTGACATAAAAGTTGTAAAGAATCATGCCTCGAATCCATCATTAAAAAATCATGTGATTTTGATGAGACATAGGAGAAAATGCTTTACTTCCATGAAAATTTTGCGTTGATTTCTCATTTATGAGGGATCCACAACTCATGGGAACAAAACCAATCAAAATAGTGATCAAAACAGTTATAAAGGATTGAGATATGGATCCGCTAAAAAAAAAAAACTCATGTAATTCCAACAAAAGATTAGAGAGATATGCTCAATTTTTCTTTGGCCCCATAGTACAGTCGTGCTTAGAAACTTATAGCGGCATATCAACCCATGGTTATTCCCAGGGTTGTTGACGTGGATCTTTTCTTAGGTTGCTCCCTGATCCTTCCCATTCACTCCTAGACCACCATTCCACACCCCTATTTCAAACTTTTATTCAGCAAATCAAGGTTCCATGAGTTCTCATTACGCAATAGAGCTTGATAAGTTTTTAAATATCATTCTCATCATATCTACAATGAAAAAGAGTAATTGACAAATTATCATTATTTGTAAGCATGGAGCATTGATTATAGCGTTGCGGGATTGTATTTTACTATTTTATGCTTTGATGAGTATATTGGGAGGAACCATAACTACTCAAATAGTATCATGAAAAAAGGAAAAAAGATACTTGTACCCACATTCTCACAGTTGCCCAAGCTTGGCTGCCTCTCTTGCTTTTTAGTCCCGACAAGTGATTTAAACCACTTTGCAGAAATGCCCATGATTATTACAACTCAGCTTTACACAATTATGACCTGCAGAAAAAAAAAAGTTTAGTTAAAGATTTAAACCATTGCTTAAAATCTTCCTAAATAAATAAATTATTCATATCTTGACTAATGTTTCACATCCTTCATAGCTCGCATATCAAACTGGTGGGTCCAAAAAAATTAAATATTATCATGAATTCCATATAAAAGAGAACCATAATACTAAGTTAAAGTGTTGTAGAGATGAAGATGCTCAGGTGGATGAGTGGCTTTAAGCTAAACCCTTAGAGATAGGATACGAAATGAGCATATACGTGAAAAGGTTGGAGTAGCTCCAGTGGAAGATAAGATTAGAGAGAGTCGCCTTAGATAGTTTGGTCATATAAAATGACGGCCATCCGATGACCCGGTTAGGAAAGCAGAGGTATTAGATTTGAATTATGTTAAGAAAAGTATAGGTAGACCTAAAAAGACTTGGTTAGAAAATATTAGAAATGATCTTTCTTTATTAGATTTAAACGAGAATTTGACTTTTAACATGACACAATGGAGAGAAAAGATTCATATAGCCGATCCCACATAGTGGGACAAAGGCTTGATGTTGTTGTTGTTGTATGAATTCCATATAAAGTTAAAATTATGGAAAATTTGGAAATATGTGAATATATACACTGCCGGTTCAATACATGGCAAATATAATGTTCAATAATTGGCTGCGCTCCACAAAAGAGTACTTGTTTTAGGCAAGCATAAACTTAGAAGTATACGATCCAAAGTTCTTTTGAGCATGGATTAGAAGATAAGAAACATTCAATGGATTAGTCCGAACACTACACAAATCCACTACATATGCCCTACCATCCAATGCAATGATAAAACTAAACTATATGTCAGACTGCAAGATTCTAATACACATGAGGCAAACTTGTGCTTTTATTAAATAGAGAATGTCAATCATTAAATCATAATTTTCCAGGAGAGTGTTTTGTAACATGTTTTTAATCAGCAACAATAAACAAAACTACAAGTAGGGGTGTAAATGAATCGAGTTGAGCATCCATCTAATCGAGCTAAGCTTATTTAATTTTTACTGAGCTCGAGCTCGACTTGTTAAAAAAATTTATAGGCTCAAGCTCATTTAGAAAGCTGAAACTTGACTCCATTGTTGAGCTTGATATCTAAGTTTTAAATTAAAATTTTAAGTTCAGCGAGCTTTAAAGCCGGGCTGGAACTCGTGGCTCGATAAGCTCGACTCATAAGCTCGTTAACGAGTCAAGCTTGAGCTGGCTAGGCTCACTTACACCCCTAACTACAACCCAAGTTATTTGAAACTGGGCCACTGGCGCATGCCAGAGAGTGTATTATAAGCCTGCAAAATTTAATATTTTTTGTTGTAACTTAAGCTTCTCAGCACACAAATCGAGTGAATGAGAGATTTTTAAGAAAAAATTTCCCGGAGGGGTAAAAACAGAAGAGTCTAACCTAGTTGAACAACTTCAATGAGTTTGCAGAAAAACAATATACAAATAGCACATCTTACTAGTTAGAGAAACTTCAACATATAATGTCTCCCAGGCAATTTGGTTGAGTAGATGTTGAGGACACCAAGGCATGTCCCAAGTGTATCAGTAGTAAACAGCAAAAGGCATGCGATGGCAAGGCCAACAAAATCCTTGGATGAAATGAATAACAACACATTCATGTAGCCTTGGAGCAAATTGTAGTCTTGATAAGAGTTGGAGAGATTTCACTTTGTATTTCATTTCAATAATTGTGTAGTTGGAGAGATTTCACTTTCAAGCCGAGCCAGATTGAGCTCGGGTATAGGCTTAAGCTCGAACTCGTGGCTCGATAAGCTCGACTCGTAAGCTCGTTAACGAGTCAAGCTCGAGCTGGCTAGGCTCACTTACACCCCTAACTACAATCCAAGCTATTTGAAACTGGGCCACTGGCGCATGCAAGAGAGTGTATTATAAGCCTGCAAAATTTAATATTTTTCGTTGTAACTAAAGCTTCTCAGCGCACAAATCGAGTGAACAAGAGATTTTTAATGGAAAATTTCTCATAGGGGTAAAAACATAAGGGTCTAACCTAGTTGAACAGTTTCAATGAGTTTGCAAAAAAACAATATACAAACAGCACATCTTAATAGTTAGAGGAACTTCAACATATAATGTCTCCCAGGCAATTGGATGAGTAGATGTTAAGGACACCAAGACATATCCCAAGTGTATTAGTAGTAAACACGCAAAAGGCATGTGATGGCAAGGCCAACAGAATCCTTGGATGGAATGAATAACAACACATTCAGGTTGCCTTGGAGAAAATTGTAGTCTTGATAAGATTTGGAGAGATTTCATTTTGTATTTCATTCCAATAATTGTGAAGTATAAATAAAATCCTAGTAGAGCTTCAAATGAAACATATAAAATTAGGGAATAATATTTTAAAGTAATTATAATAATTCACGAATTTATAAGTTGGCAGAATAATAATTATAAAATAATTACAATAGTCCAACGATTGATGAGCAAACAAAAGGAATTCTACAAATAAAGTGGCAATAAAAGAGAAAGAAAGAAGAGCAGAATTTTGGTGAAAATTATACATATAAAATTAGGAAATAATATTTATAGAATAATTATAATAATTCACGGATTAATAAGTTGGCAGAATAATAATTATAAAATAATTGCAAATTTGCAATAGTCTAGTGATTGATGAGTAGGCAATAGGAATTCCACAAAAAGTGGCAATAAAAGAAAAGAAAAGAGAGCAAAAGTCTTGATGAAAATTAGACAGATGTTTCAACCTCCCTCCTTTAAAGAGAACATCAATAGCTCTAGTGACGAATGGAGAACAAATTAGACCATTGTCATGTTTTTCCTTTATAAAGTCTCTCTATGAAATTCAATATGTTTCGTATAATCATGTTGCTTGGAATTACATTCAATATAAATATCTATTTTTTTCTTGACAATATAGCATCATAAGACCTTTTTCATTAAACTGTTTAAGTCTTCCAAGATAATTTTTAGCCGTAGTAATTTGCATATTCCTAGTATCATAGATCTAAATCCAATTGCTACACTAGATCTTGTTACCACATTTTATTATTTATTTCTTGAAGTCATGGGGTCTCCTAAAAATGTACAATAACATAAAGTTGACCTCCTACCAACCATTGAACCCATGCATAAGTTGTATTTGAGTAAGCTTCAAGAGGCGTAGCCCAAAGCAATTCAAATAACAAATCAAGTATGATATTAAATATTATTATTCAAGCACATAAATTATAATATCATTTCATCACATTCATGGTTCTATTCATCAAATATTGAATAGGAAAAAGCCTATGATTGTGTAGAGGGACCCCCCCCCCTCCCACTCCCCCGTGCGCGCGCGCGTGTAAAAAAAGAGAATCTATGTATCAAATAGTACTAATAACATAGCATAACAACACCTAAGAAAAAACTCATAGATTTCCTTTGCATACATGCAGAAAATAATAATATAGATGATTGCAAGTCAAAGAATTTATATCATATCAAAGAATCATTTCGATGGTGTACAATATGCATGACTTCCATAAATTTATGCATGCCACTAAAACATATGAATACTACAACATGGCAATATATGATGAAATCACTTAATAAATTCATCTGCACGTCATTTCATACCAATCAATGCAAATAATAATGAAACTTTTCATCACTATTCCATCCAAAATAATTGGTTGCATGATATGCTACAGCAATGGATCTGATCAATGGTGGCGTTCATGTTATTGTCATCACCGCTCATCATCATCATCATCCTTGTTAAATGCTTCTCGCCCTTTGTCTCCTTCACAAAAATTGAGGAGAGGGAGAAGATGAGAGATGGTGTGAATGATTTCTATGGAATAAAAAATTGCTTTTGGTGAGAAAGGGGAAATGAAGGATCTAAATCAAATCGCTTTCCATGAGGATGACATTTTTTCCATCATCTTAGACTAAAAAAATGTTTGGCATACTTTAATCAAAAGTACATAGTTTTATTTGTATGTTTTTAAAACGATAAAGATTTATGGTCAAAACCAGTTGAGATAAAGGTTATCACCAAATAAAGTAAGGATGGCCTATGAAGTTTTCTAACCTTCTGCTACATACTCAAATCAAACAATGGAGATGTGTGGAGAACTTGGAGTAGAGAATGAATATTATTATTGTCTTTGCTCAATTATAACTTGAGCCTACACCCTTTAAAACAAACAAGATCAAATCAAATCAAATAAATTCGAAGTCATATCATATAAGCAACAAATGGAGAATATTTATTTTAGGAAGATTTGGAGAATAATTTATTCTAACGAAACATTAATATTAACAAGTTTTATGTTGAAGTCATAAGGAAAACGACAGAAACATATAAAATTTTTTCACTTTTTTAAGGAAGGGGGAGAGGGACAGTTTGAGTGTCAGCAGGGACACATAGGCTAATAATCAAATCCATGAATTCTTGGGTTAGGTCAAAGCCCTCAACTAACTTAATAAAAGACGGACCCGATACAACAAGTGCCAGTTGGTCTAACAGAAGGAGTCAAGGAGACATATTTGAACTTTCACCAAACAGTCAATGAAAAGAACGAATTGAATGAAATGAAAAAGAAAGAATACTTTGACTTCAACATGAATGTAAAAGTATTAAATTAGTAAATAACTACGAAGAACTGGTTTCCGCAAAAAATAACCACGGTGCTCCAATTGCTGCCTCCATTCAGTCCCAGCAAGATTTTAGGGCCCAAAATAATCACTTTCCCAAAAATCATTAATAAAAAACAACTAAGCGGAAAACATATATTCAACTCCATAAACTTGAAATTCCAGATTACCAGCTTATGCGAGCCCAGATCTAACAAAGCCCCGCTCAAATGCCATCAAAGGACGAAGAAAAGCCAAATTGTGGAGAACCAGAAAATAACAGCTGAACTCACCTCGAAGCGCCAAAAATGTCACATTCTCTTCTCTTCCCGAACGATTACAAGCAAAAGATCTATGGGAACGGTCCACTCTCAAGGCTTTCCAACAGAAGAGCTTTCGCCTCGAGATCCATCAATGGAAGCTCTTCCTCTACTCACTATCTCGTCCCTGCCACTCTCTCTCTCTCTCTCTCTCCCACAATTTTCGCGTTCCGGAATGCCGAGTAAGCCTATTTCTCACGTTTCTTTTTAACTCCACTCCCTCGATCTTTTGTTTTTTGTTTTTTTCAAGTGTTGGCATAAAAATGTAATTTTATTAATAATTGAATATCAATTTGCTTAATTTGATGCTGGAGAGAGAAAATATTTTTTTGAAAATTGAGGATCACACCCATCATTCATTAATTGGTCAAAATATTATATAGAATATAAAATATATGCCCACAAAAAGTTATAATTGGGTCTAAAAATAAAAATAATTCTATAAAAGCGAATACAAAATAACTCGAAGAACAACAGCAAAACAGGACATATACGCTAAGAATTGCCATCCAAGATGATAAAGCGGGGAGTCACCAACCACCCTTCTTAAATAATTCGTCAGCCAACGAAATCAAAAAGCAAGCTTCGCATCACCATAGTGTTGCAAGCGTGAGTGAATAGAGCAATCAATCCATCAAAATCATAAGAAATTGTTTCACATGTGTAAGCATCATAATTAAACCAAGAAAAGTCATCATCAAGAAGGCCAAACAATAAATGATACCGGCAAAAACGAGCAAGTAAAGATAAAAGGAACCTCATTACACATTAAAAAAAATACAAAAATCTCAAATGTAATGGTAAATATGAATTGTAATTCCATCTTCTACTCTTCAATCTTGATATATCATCAAAAAATTATCTTGATCGGGCACGAATCTCAAGGCAAAATCAAGTTGAAAATTTCAAAAATTAAATCTGAGAACATCTGAACTCCGATTTCAACAAACTTATAGTTGAATTGAACGTCTCGAAAATACAAACCCAATGACACCCAATTCAACTTAATCCGAGCCCAAATGAATCGAAATCAAAGACCTGAAACACATTTGGAAGGTTCAAACCATATTTTGGATTACCAAACAGTTTACAAAAGTGACATGCTTATAGTCGAATCTAACGACTCAATGAGATGAATCCAATGAGCCCAAAATTATTGAATTCTGATATAAATAAGACATTTAAATATCAAATAAATGGTCCACAATCAAGGGAATCAACATCTGTCGTTCATTCAAACCACTCTCAATTTATCTTTTATATTCCTCTTATTTACTGACCATGTCACTCTCAGAAAATTAAAAATAGACTCATCATTTCTCATGAAAAGGGACCCAAGCAAGGAAGAAATGAAGAGAATGAAGAAAATTCTAATTCCATTATGATCTTCGACCATCACTAGACTTCCACCCGGCCACCAACTGTTGTCGTATTTCCAACCAGCCGCCGACTAATGTCAAACTTCCGCCAGACCGTCAATTAAAGTCGGATTTCCACTCAACCACCGAACGTTGCCGAATTTCCAATCTCTATTTGTAACTAGATTTTAACCTGACGATTGATTATTGTAATTTGATCGTCCTCAATTTTAGGGACAAGTCAGACACTTTTAATCTAATCAAACACTAGTTGAATCATTTCAACTGGGCGTGGCCCCATGATTTTTCCATTTTCCAGAGTTTTCCCTTTTCTAGAGTTTTCCACATAAAAATTTTGGTGTTCCTTTTTTTCTTGTATTTATGTGCTGGATATTTGTGCAATGCTGAGACAAAAAATTCTAACTCTAACACCGCATTATTCTAGCCCGTAACATATCTAATAAAAATTTTGATTTTTTGAATGATAATATTGGCATTCAAAAACTTACCTTTAATTATGTGGTTGTTCATATCTTTTCATATGCATAAGCAGTTATTTGAACAGCCAATAAGAAAAAATTCATAGTGATTCTGCAAAAATATGTTATCATAATGATTAAGAATCTATAGCATAGTTCGCCCAAGGTGGCAAAAGTTACAATAGTCTATTGTGCTTTTTAAGAAATTGTTAAGGATAACTCACAATCAAAAGAATTAAGTGTGTGTGACTTTTCCTTGAAATTGAGAGCAAAGCCTCAACTTATCAAATTTGAAGATCTTATGATAATTAATTTTAAAAAATAAATATAAAATTAAAAATATTGTTCATGACATGAAATAATTCTCAGCCATCGGTCATCAAAGATATTTACACTATTCTTACTAGTATGCATTTGCCATAATAAATATCATTAAATATATTATTATATATATATTATATATATATATTATATATAATATATAATATATATATTATATATATATATATATATATAAGATTAAATAAATTACATCACAAAACTCACATATCATATATGCCAATTTCATATTCAAAATATTTTATTTGCGTCTTAAATTTCATTTGAGAACAGCTTTTTAATGTTTTAAAACAATTTTTTTTTACAAAAAAAATTTTAGTTCAAAAATTATTATACTAAAGCTTCTTTTAGAAAGCAAAAAAAAAAAAAAAATCCAAACAAAGTCTTAAGCACCTAATCAACAAGTCAAATATTTTTATAACATCAATAAACGAAAAAAGGTACAATTAAGTTTCCAAATTTTATTGAAAAATAAGCAAAATTAAAAATAGCTTTTATGAAAAATTATAAAAGTATCAATTATGAAACTATCTTATAATCTTATAATTCACATTATTTTTTATTTATAAATAAATATTTTATTTTTTTTATCCGTGATAAGCCTCTCTTATCCCTCTTCCACACATGCCACCTATGTCTCCTCTCATAAACTTCTTCATCAATCATGCTTGATATGCCTTACTGAAAGTTTTTTTTTTTCTAGTTTTGATTTGGACAGCTTGATCAAAATCCAACGGCTCAAATTTCACTCTGTTTAAACCGCGCGTTTTAGAAAATCGAACATGGTTCTATAGTTCACCGGTTCGAGCGGTTCTCAGAGGGTTCTTTGCAAATTTAGTTTCATATTTGAATTGAACCGGCTGACCGACCGGTTCATAGTTCAACAGGTTGACCCGACCTGTCCAGTCCAGCTTTAATAGCCATGGACAAGCTCTGTCATAACTTTCTTTTTTGATCCCTTTGACTTGTTGCCTTAGTGAGCACCGATCATGACTTCACCATCTCATCGACGTGCTGCCCTAGCGAGCACCATCACAATTTCCCTTTCCTTGCAACATTCTCATCAGTGTGTTGCCCAAGCATGCTTCATTGTGATTTATGCCTTGTCGATGATGTGCAATGAAAGTGATATAGCCAATAACATGTGAAAGTGGCGATGAAGATGCAACTGGTGGTGTGTGCAGGTTTCCAAGATAGGGCCTACGAGATGGGATCTAGATGACAATTGGGGGTAAATTATATTTTATTGATATTTAAAATTTTAAGTGTTATTTAAATGTATAAATGAAAAAAATAATAATTTTGAGTGCTATTTAAGTCACTTTAGGGCATCTCCAATCGAAAATCATATTTTTCACTCCAAAATGCAGTGAAACCAAAAAATGTCGTGATTCATCTCCAATCGAACGCCATTTTGCCCCGTAACCGTCGTTCTCTTCTTTCATGCCTTTCTTCCGAAAGTTCGGTAGAGATAAAAAAATGGCGCAGATGAACAGTGCAACGCCAATATTGACGTCGCTCTGTTCATCCGCAATCAAATGGCGTCAAAAATGGCGGTCGGTTGGAGCAAAGTAAGAACGGCAAACAATTGTTTGCCATTCCATTGGAGTTGCCCTTAATTTAAATATATATCTTCCAACCAATTAAATCATGTTAAAGCCAAAAAAAAACTAAAGTTTCAACAAAAAGAAAAGAAAAAAAAAATGCTAGTCATCAAACACCCCTATCATTTTCCCTTCATTATTTTACTACAAAACACTTGAGCAATACTTCAACATTTACAAGTCAGTGTGTAGGATCTATCTTTCCTTGAAGATATCGAAGTATTTGAGGGATCGAAATGATCGATTCTTCGTCAGCTTTAGTACACAATCTTGCAATAATTAGAAGACTTTTGAGCTCTCTTGAATCATAATTTCCTCCAAGATCAGCATCCACCATTTTGTGCATCGAGTAGGCGAATCCCGACCCTTGAATCCATCGAAGCGGCTCATCCTCGTCGCCCATGGACTGACCCGTTATGAGTTCAAGGATCAGCACACCAAACTGAAATACTGTATCCCTGTTTCTTTGATTAAGTTTTCCTACAGAAACATTAAATAAAGTTTATACAACAAATATACACATAACATGAAAATTCTACCATGTAAATGAAAGTGACACATCAAAATCAAAACCTCTTGGCTGATTATCAATCAAATCGCTATTGTTGCTGCAATTACAGTCTAGGATTCCAACATTAGAGACCTGAAAATGAAAGAAAATGCATCTTTCATTATTACTTACTCATCATCATATGTAAATTATTGAGAGAAAGAACTTTATTTCATGTCAGGAAGATGAACCTTAGCAACAAAGTTATTGTCCAACATCACATTATTTGAATTAATTGTCACATGATAGACAGGCGGATCACAGAAATAGTAAATGTATTCCTGCATGAAAGAGCATCCAAGATAATGGTAGATCAGTGGTCATTATTTCTAAGAACTTGCTCATGTTCCCTCTTAATACATACATACATACCACGAAATTTTTATGTATTTACATATCTAACATCTAAATCTAATATTTACATATTTAACTTTCTAATCTTCAAACTACATAAAAAATATAGCTTATCTACATAAGTAAATATAAAAATTTACATATTATGTATGTAAATTCATAAGAATTCAGTGGTATATGTGTAAATCCTCCTACAATATATGGCATTTATATATACCAAAGCAGCTGCAACATCAATGGCAATCTGTAATCTTGTTCTCCAATTCAATGGAGTCTTCAGTGGATCTATCCAAAAATAGCTAAATTAGGAAACTTGTTAATGTTATTATAGTTTTATCCCTGAATAACAGATGAGAATGTACCATGAAGCCAATCCCTCAGGCTTCCATTTTCCATGTGTTCGAACACAAGACATCTGAATCCAGTAAAACAGTTAAACTTATGAAATCTTCAATGGATTATTTACTCAGTCTGAATTAAATTGAAATATGATTGAAGCATACCTCTCAGGCCCTTCAGAAAAGCCTACTAATTTAACGACATGACGATGATGCAATCGAGCTAAGTATTGCACATCAGTATGGAATGTAACCTTTCCTTGTTCTTCATCTTTAACCTTTTTAACCGCGGCGATGAGCCCATCAGGAAATCTTGCTCTGTATAAAGCTCCATCAGAATCACTTCCCATAATCATGCTAAATCTATCAGTTGCTTTCTTCATTTCATTTGATGTGAGTTTTCTAACATGAAGTAATGGAGCTACAATAAATAGAAAATTGATCAGCTTAACTTACCAGTTGAGACTGAGGCTCCATTTGAGATGACTTTTATTTTTGTACTAAAATTCTATTTTAAGAAGCAATAAAAAAGTCATCGAAGCATGAATGTACTAAGTAGCACTGGAGCAAATTAAAACCATGAATTCCATTCAGAAATGTTAATATCCAAATAGATTAAAATTCTAGGTTTGTTTGGAGCATAGTGCATCCTTCTTAATAAATTTTGTATAAAAAATTGTTTTAAAAAGTAGTAAGAAAACTGTCCCAAATGAACCCTAAGGCTGATAGAAATTTCAAAAAGTCAGATCACTCGAGTTTCAATTCATAATGGAAATGCTACTTCACAGTAGAGAATTACAGAAAAATGTTTGTGCATGTTCTAGAGAGAGCACAACCCCTATAAAAATTTATACTTCAGAAATTACAGACCTACAGAGACTGAATTTGCTAAGAAGCATATGAGCAAATTAAAAGCAGGTTTCTCATTAAGAAAGGTAAATTTTCAGAAATTACAGGCCTCGCTGAAATTACAGGCCTTGAGCTGTATTATATTTACAATGATGAGAAACCATAGCTAAAATCCTTGCACTATTCTTCTTAACGTCTGCTTCTCTAAAACACAGTAAAACAGTTAGGAACCCAAATTCCAAAGCCAATTCAACTTTAACTTTCCTTTTCCATTTTTCCAAAACCCCGAAGAAACAAAGATCTATGCACACAAGGCTTGAAAGAAGTAAATATCCTTTCTCCCTCTCTACCATAAAAATCACAATTCATTTCTTAACTAATTAGCTTAAAATTTACATTTGATGAAAAAGAACAAAATATCTCAACACCACCGCCCACAATCTTGAAACTTTCATCAATCTCTCGAAAGAGAGAAAAGAGGACTGGAAGGAAACTTAAGTACCTGAGCAAGAGCGGCGGCTATCGGCGGAGAGACACCGCCGGAGTCTCTTCATCTCCGGTAAAGATTGAGCAAAGGAGTGCCGGGGGATCTTCTAGAGAAGTAGACGAAGGGAGGTAACGAGAAAGATTGTAAACAGTAGAACTCTCCATTGGTCCCCCTTTCTTTCTTCACTTTCTTTATCTTAATCAGAATCTTTACTTTTTACTCTTTAACCTCTCCCACTTCCTCATAATCCTCCGCTTCTTCTTCACAAGGTAAAAGTAAAAAAGGAGAGAAGAAGAAAGGAGATAAAAGGAATCTACTTTGCTTCCTCCGATCTTCCCCACTTGTAGGGCTTATTAATGCTAGTCAACTTCTTAATTATTAATTCTTTGTGGACTATTATTTAATTTTTTTGCTGATTCCGGCGGTCGATGGTGGCCGCCGGGGAGTGATTTGGCGAAGAGTTGCTGACCGTTATAATTAATTGCGATTTATGCAGCCTCCTGTATGGCCGTACATTTTTTCTGATTCATATATTATTAAAAAAATTAAACTTAAAATTTATTACATTTACTTAAAGGTAATGCAATATACAAAAGTTTAAATCTCATCATACTATAATTTATTTTTTAATATTATAATATAATTTTTTTATATTAGTTTAGCTAATAGATAAGATTATGCTTGTGATACTTTTGAATTATGGGTAATTTTTCAAATCTAATTTTATTTACTTTAATCAATTAAGTTTGAATAATGCTCTGATTAATAAACTATTAAATTATTAAATGAATAAATACAATTATTAAATCAGTTATTACTAGATTCATATTGATCTTATTTATAAAGAAAGAAATTTATTTTTACATGATTTTTTTGCACAAAAGTATTATCATTTTCTAGTGTAGAGTGTTGAAAAAAAAAATTTAATAGATGAAAGACACCAACATTTGAGTATTACTTTGATTTCAAAATGTCAATGTTATTGTAATGAGATTATCCAACATGTCTTTATAAATAAGATTTCTATAAAAAACTTTTGAGATTGATTTAGTATAACTTTTCATATTCAACTTTCTGATATTTAAAATATCGCTTAAATTGTTTAGGATATGCAAAAGATCAATGAATTTCATTTTCTCCTAAGATGTTAGAGTTCTCATTCATATTTGCATTATTTGTTTCACTTTGGTTAGAAATAAATGAATGCAATTATAAAAATAGTTGACAAAAAAGATTGGTCTGGTGGGAGTGGTACCAAAGGAAAATGAGAGGTTATGGATCCATTATGGAGGTTAGGGGGCGGCCCAATGACGACGTTGTCTGGTGATGTACTGAGAATGGTGTTTAGACGGTCTTTGGATGATCTGAGGATAGCGGTCAGACAATGGTACGACGACAACTATCAAATTTGAATGCAAGAATGGAAAGAAGTTATTGGCTTGCTTTCTTAGCATCAATAATTAATCGTAATTAGATCCAACGATGGGGATAAAACGAATATACAACACTTAAGATCAGAATAATAACATGCATTTTTTTTTTAAATTTGTTGGAGCTATTGTAATTATTTATTTTCTTTTATTATCTTAATACTTTTGTTTACCAATGCTCATTAAAAGAACAAACGAATTAGGATTTTCTAGCCACTTTTCTTTTCCTCATGGTATTGGAGTAATGTTAGAGTTCTCTTTCTAACATATGTTCATCCTTTTTTCATTCTTATGTTCATCAAGCCTAACTTCTTAGCTTCCCTTCCGTAGAGTCAGTTATTATGAATGATGAAAATCAAATTAAATAAAGACTCTAGAGGCTACAAGCATTGTATCACTTTAATGGAATAAACTACCTCAAGTGATCCCAAATTATGAAGAATATTTTGAAAGGAAAGATAAGACTCATCATTTCATGGATTCTCCTCCAAAGGTAAAAGACCAAAATTTATATTTAATGTTGAATCAATTTTCATGATTATGTCATAGTTATGACCAAGATGCATGAAATTAGTGAGACATGTATGTTCTTGACAATTGCAAACAAAAATATTTGGAATACTATTAAACAAATTTACTCAAAAATTAAAGATGTTGCTATCATCTATGAGTTCAAAACAAAGATTTTGAGAACAAAGTAATATAATCTTCATATCATTAAAACATTTTAAGTAATGAAGGCGTTTTAGCTTGAACTAGATTACTATCAATATCCTACGATGAAGTGTAGTGATGATGTGATAATTCTTAAATAATTTGTTGAAAGACAAAGTTGTTTGTGTTTCTTGCATGACTCTATAATGAATACGATCAAGTTTGTGTTTAAGATCTAAGCAGAAAATCTACCATCTTTAAATTAGGTCTTCTCACTCATACAAATTGAAGAACAAAGAATGATGGTAATGCTTGACGATCTTATATGAAACATTTTCTATGATACCCATACAACCTCTTGGTAAATAAGTTGTTCTCAACTACTCTTTTCCAAAAAAAAAAAGGTCAAAAATTTCTCCCAAAAGCAATTTATGGTACAACCACAAGAAGATAAAATGGCACACCAAATATTAATATAGAAAACTCCCAAAAAACGCTCCAAGGCTATGGAAGAAATAAAGAAAGTCATTCAAAAGAGTAGGCTTATCTTGTTGAATTAAAAAGGCTCAACTTGAAAGAAATCAATAAACTCATTAGCATCCTAAACTCTCTAAAAAATCATCTAGAACTTTTTTCTACCTTCTTTTTTTTAAGTCTTTTCTCTACCTTGAAAAGGTATAGACTCTAAGTATTGTATTTTTAAAGTATCAAATAATTTCCGTCAAATCTGAATTACAGATGCATGAGAATCGATTAGAAGACTATAACTGTTATCCCAATAATAAGAAAATCAAAGTACTTAATAATCTTTTAATAAATATTGTAGGTTAACAAATATTCCTATTTCTCCTACATTTACTCTCAAGATATACAATATATTTCTCAGATTGCTACAAATCTTATATAATTTCATAAAATCACTAAAAATTACAACTGTAAAATAACATTTCCTTATTAATTATTGTTTGTAGGAGGACCTGACTATTGAGAAAATGATTGGGTATGCTAGAGAAAATGATGGTGCATATTCTCTTGAAGATGAAAACTACTTGTACAATAGGAACTATATAATGAAATCATTATATATTGTTGATAAGTGTAAATAATGTATTATTGTATGTGTTATATTTTTAATAAAAATGTGATATTTTAGTTGTGTTGTGCAAGAAAAATAAAAAAATGACACAAAATTCTAAGTATCATCAAGCGCTGCAGCATTAGATGAATCAATTCCACAACGCCATCAAGGACACGTCAGAGTGCCACAATATTGACATGGAGGTGCAGACTTCTATGTTTGATACGGTTGCAACGTCAAAATGGTCAGCTTGGCAGTGTCATGTTCACTGTCTTCAAGTGTCGCGGCATCACAACCTATTCTACCTTGGTGTCCAAATTGTCACTCAGGTGCCATAGCGTTGGAAAGTCAGTAGTGCCATGGTGTAGCAATTGTAACTTTCAAAGTGTGATGCCCCAGATATCAATAGTGAAAGGATTCGTCTGACATTCTGATTGAACTCCATTCCAGTTGCCTTGCTCGGACCTGAAAATTTTTAACCACATATAATGAGCTTACAAAGCTCAGCAGGTCACCAAAGCCTACAACTGAAATCAAAGCACGGCGATGCTATCAATATGCAGGTCAATCAAATCAAGTCAATCAATGGTCAATGAGTCTATGCAATACGGAAATCCATAGTCAATGAAATCAAGTCTGTACAGCGGAAATCAAATCATTAGTCAATGCAGTACGGAAATCAATAGTCAATAATCAATACAGCGGTAAAAACATCGATAAATCAAAACGCCTCAGCAATCAAATCAGTAAGTGCTTCCAGTCAATGTCTATCCATCGTAGCAGTGTCTATCAATCAATACTATCAGTTCAATCAATCGTGTCGTCTAATCAATTCGTTGTATCTATATCATCTATCAAATCAATAGGATGTCTGTGTCAATTAATAGCAATCAATAACATCAATTAATTCAATAAGGGACTCGTGTCAGAACGTACTCTTGCAAATCAGTCAATCCAATTATTCAATACGATTTACTCGATATCAATATACAATATTCAATGACACTACGACAGATTCAATAATGACGACGTACGATGCTACAATAGGGAAATCATCTCAATCAATAGAGCACTTTCCAGTCAATTATCTCTATCA